TGAGGATTGGATTAGCTAATTAGAAGACAGGGTAGAAAAAAATCACACAATCAGAGAGCCAAAGAAAAAACAATTAAAAAACAGGAAGACAGTTTAAAGGAGCTTGGGACAACACGAAACATAACAATACTAGCATCATAGGAGTACCAGAAGATGTAGAAAGTAAGCAAGGATTAGAGAACCTGTTTGAAGAAATAGTGGAAGAAAACTTCCCTAACCTGGTGAAGGAAAAAGTCACACAAGTTCAGGAGGCACAGAGAGTCCCAAGCAAGAAGAGCGCAAAGAGGCCCACACCCGACACATCATAATTAAAATGCCAAAAATTGAAGACAAAGAGAGAATCTTAAAGGGAGCAAGAGAAAAGCAAATCTGTTACCTACAAAGGAGCTCCCATAAGGCTGTCAGTTGATTTCTCCTCAGAAACTCTCCAGGCCAGAGGGGAATGGCATGAAGTATTCAAGGTAATGCAAAACAAGGATCTGAAACCAAGACTACTCTATCCAGCAAGGCTATCATTCAAAATAGGTGGTGAAATAAAGAGCTTTCCAGACCAAAAAAAAAAAAAAAGGCTTAAGAAATTTATCACCATCAAACCAGCATTGCAAGAAATGTTTAAAAGACTGCTGTAATTAGAAATAGAAATGTATATATAGAGAAATATAGGCATAAAGAATTAAAATGGCAGGAGATAAGTACCTATCAATAACAACTTTACATATAAATGGATTAAATGTTCCAATCAAAAGACATAGGGTAGCTGAATGAATAAGAAAACATGACCCAAATATATGCTGTCTACAATAAACCCACCTCAGAACAAAAGACTCACACAGGTTGAAAAAAACTTCTGGAGGACTTTAAGGAAGAGATCAATAGCAGTACAGTTAAAGGGGACTTTAACACCCCACTGACTTTACTGGATAGAAAGAAAAATCAACAAGGAAACAGTGACTCTAAATGACACACTAGGTCAGATGGATTTAATTGACATTTACAGAACATTTCACCCCAAAGCTGTAGAATATACATTCTTCTCAAGTGCACATGGAACATTCTCAAAGACAGACCCATGTTAGGACACAAAACAAGTCTCTACAAGTTCAAGAAGATTGAAATAATATCAACCATCTTCATGGACATTTATACTATGGAATACTATGCAGCTGTACAAAAGAAGGATCCCTTACTGTTTGAGACAGCATGGTGGGACCTGGAGAGTATTATGCTAAGTGAAATAAGCCAGTCAGAGAAAGATAAGTGTCACATGATCTCACTCATATGTGGAATCTAATGAACAAAGTAAACTGATGAACAAAATAGATCCAGAGACTTGGAAGCATGGAACAGACTGAGGGATCTCAGAGGGAAGGCAGGGCTGGGTGTGAAGAGATTAACCTAAGAATTTATATGCATATATGCATAACCCATGGACACAGACAATATTGTGGTGAAGGCCTGGGGAGAGGGGTGCAGGGTGGAGGAGATCAATGGGGGGAAAGGAGGATATTTGTAATACTTTCAACAGTAAAGATAAATTAAAACAGTAAAAAAATAGGCAAAGGACTTGAATTTTTCTCCAAGGAAGATATATACAAGTGGCCATCGCACACATGAAAAGATGCTCAACATAACTAGTGATTAAAGAAATGCAATCAAAACCACAATGAGATACCACTTCACAACCACTAGGATGGCAAAAATAAAAAAAAATTTCAGAAAATACAAGTATTGCGGAAAATGGAGAGAAATTATTACCCTCATTCATTGTTGATGGGAATGGTAAATGATGTAATTGCTGTGGAACATTGTTGGTTCCTCAAAAAGTTAAACATAGAATTACCATGTGATCCAGAAATTGCACTGCCAAATATATATGCATAAGAATTGAAAAAAGGTATTCAAAGAATAATTTGTATGCTACTGATTATAGCAGCTCTATTTGCAATACCCAAAAGGAAGAAACAACACAGATGTCCTTCAATGGATAAATACACAAATACGGTCTATCCACACAATGGAATATTAGTCAGCCACAAAAAGAAATGGTGTTCTCAGTCATCCTACAGCGTAGATGAACCTTAAAAAGATTATGCTTGAGGAGAGGATCAAGATGGTGGCGTAGGTCACAGCTGCACCCGCCGCCCCCACAACCACATCAAAATTACAACTAAAATACAGAACCACCATCACTCAGAACCTCCTGAAGCCTGGCTGAGCAGAAGCCCCACAGCCAGGGAACTGAAGAAGTGCTGGGACGGGAGGAGAGGCGGAGACGCGGGCGGATCGGGGCTGAATCGGAGACGCAGCCGCGGGCCCACACCTGGTGCCTTGGTTGAAACCCGGGAGGGAATCTCGGCGGTGGAGGTTTCCCGGAGGAGCGAGGGGTCCCAGCCCCACAGCAGGCCCCAGCCCAGGGCTCCAGGCCGGGGAGAGATGTCCCCACAACTTCAGGCCACGAAAACCAGTGGGGACTGTCCCTGAGGGTCACGGAGGCTGCGGGACCTCCAGGCTTTCCTCTTAAAGGGCCCGCGCACAGATTCAGACACGCTCCCTCTGAGCCCAGCGCCAGGCAGCAGCTTGAAAGGACCAGGGACACTTGGGGAGGAACTAACCTGCCTGAAATTGGGACAAGAGGTGGAGGTGCGGCTTCCTCCCAGGCAGAAGAGCTGGCAGAGGCCACTGTTCCTTTGACCAGCCCTCCCCGCACAGAGCCCGCAGGCAGGCGCCATATTTGAATCGCCAGCACCTGACGCACACCTTTGGCCCCGCCCCGTGATTCCCGGAGGCCCCGCCCCTCCCCACCTGCAGCTCATCCCAGCCATTTCCAGGGGCTTTTCTATGCACGTGGCCTCTCGAGCCTCATGCTTAGAACTTTCCTAAAATCTCTCAAACAAGCAGCAGCTGCCCCATACAGCTTGATAAGTGGCCCCAGGCCTGGCACTAGCGGCAGCTGCATTGGCTCATAGCTTGGCCTCTCCTGGACACCTCCAGGCCCAGCACAAGTAGCAGCCAACTACGGTTTGCTGTGTAGCTCATGCTGGGTGGCCCTGGGCAAGGCACTGGCAGAG